TCAGTGTTATATAATATCACAAACAGATCAGTGTTATATAACATTACAAACAGATCAGTGTTATATAACATCACAAACAGATCAGTGTTATATAACATCACATCAGTGTTATATAACATCACAAACAGATCAGTGTTATATAATATCACAAACAGATCAGTGTGATATAGCATCACATCAGAGTTATATAGCATCACAAACAGATCGGTGTTATATAACATCACAAGTTGATCAGTGTTATATAACATCACAAAAATATCAGTGTTATATACCATTACATCAGTGTTATATAACATCACAAAAAAGATCAGTGTTATATAACATCACAAACAGATCAGTGTTATGTAACAGCAAAAGCAGATCAGTGTTATATAACATCACAAACAGATCAGTGTTATATAATATAACAAACAGATCAGTGTTATATATCATCACAAACAGATCAGTGTTATATAACATAACGTCAGTGTTTATAACATCACAAACAGATCAGTGTTATATAACATCACAAACAGATCAGTGTTATATAACATCACGAACAGATCAGTGTTATATAACATCACAAACAGATCAGTGTTATATAACATCACAAACAGATCAGTGTTAAATAACATCACAAACAGATCGGTGTTATATAACATCACAAACAGATCGGTGTTATATAACATCACAAACAGATCAGTGTTATATAACATCACATCAGTGTTATATAACATCACAAACAGATCAGTGTTATATAATATCACAAACAGATCAGTGTTATATAACATCACAAACAGATTAGTGTTGTGTAACATCACAAACAGATCAGTGTTATATAACACCACAAGTAGATCAGTGTTGATAACATCACAAACAGATCAGTGATATATAGCACCACAAACAGATCAGTGTTATATAACATTACAAACAGATCAGTGTTATATAACATCACATCAGTGTTATATAACATCACAAACAGATCAGTGTTATATAATATCACAAACAGATCAGTGTTATATAACATTACAAACAGATCAGTGTTATATAACATCACAAACAGATCAGTGTTATATAACATCACATCAGTGTTATATAACATCACAAACAGATCAGTGTTATATAATATCACAAACAGATCAGTGTGATATAGCATCACATCAGAGTTATATAGCATCACAAACAGATCGGTGTTATATAACATCACAAGTTGATCATTGTTATATAACATCACAAAAATATCAGTGTTATATACCATTACATCAGTGTTATATAACATCACAAAAAAGATCAGTGTTATATAACATCACAAACAGATCAGTGTTATGTAACAGCAAAAGCAGATCAGTGTTATATAACATCACAAACAGATCAGTGTTATATAATATAACAAACAGATCAGTGTTATATATCATCACAAACAGATCAGTGTTATATAACATAACGTCAGTGTTTATAACATCACAAACAGATCAGTGTTATATAACATCACAAACAGATCAGTGTTATATAACATCACGAACAGATCAGTGTTATATAACATCACAAACAGATCAGTGTTATATAACATCACAAACAAATCAGTGTTATATAACATCACGAACAGATCAGTGTTATATAACATCACAAACAGATCAGTGTTATATAACATCACATCAGAGTTATATAGCATCACAAAAAGATCGGTGTTATATAACATCAGATAAGTGTTATATAGCATCACAAACAGATCAGTGTTATATAACATTACATCGTCGTTCTATAACATCACAAGCTGATCAGTGTTATATAACATCACAAACAGATCAGTGTTATATAACATCACATCAGTGTTATATAACATCACAAACAGATCAGTGTTATATATCATCACAAACAGATCAGTGTTATATAACATAACGTCAGTGTTTATAACATCACAAACAGATCAGTGTTATATAACATCACAAACAGATCAGTGTTATATAACATCACGAACAGATCAGTGTTATATAACATCACAAACAGATCAGTGTTATATAACATCACAAACAGATCAGTGTTATATAACATCACAAACAGATCAGTGTTATATAACATCACAAACAGATCAGTGTTATATAACATCACAAACAGATCAGTGTTATATAACATCACATCAGAGTTATATAGCATCACAAAAAGATCGGTGTTATATAACATCACATAAGTGTTATATAGCATCACAAACAGATCAGTGTTATATAACATCACAAACAGATCAGTGTTATATAACATTACATCGTCGTTCTATAACATCACAAGCTGATCAGTGTTATATAACATCACAAAAAGATCAGTGTTATATAATATTACAAACAGATCAGTGTTATGTAACAGCAAAAACAGATCAGTGTTATGTAACAGGAAAAACAGATCAGTGTTATATAACATCACAAACAGATCAGAGTTATATAACATCACAATCAGATCAGTGTTATATAACATCACAAACAGATCAGTGTTATATAACATCACAAACAGATCAGTGTTATATAACATCACAAACAGATCAGTGTTATATAACATAACATCAGTGTTTATAACATCACAAACAAATTAGTGTTATATAACATCACAAACAGATCAGTGTTATATAACATCACAAACAGATCAGTGTTATATAACATCACAAACAGATCAGTGTTATATAACATAACATCAGTGTTTATAACATCACAAACAAATTAGTGTTATATAACATCACAAACAGATCAGTGTTATATAACATCACAAACAGATCAGTGTTATATAGCACGTTGTTAAGTCCGGTTTTATACAACATCGCGATGTTATATCTTTGGATCGCTTTCAGATCAGTAAAACTGTTAAAACTTTGTTTACAATACTATGTTTATTTAGCCGTCATACTTCTATTTAAAGTATAAATGCATTATTGCGACCTGACCCCGTTTATCTGTGTAATGATGAGAAACAACGAGACTAAGATATATGTTTGTACGTAAACGTTCTACATATGGCCCTTATCTATACAGCACGGTACTGAACAAGGTGTGATGAAACTTGCCAGGATAAATGTCTCACAAGGAATACATGACATGGCTATATGTACATGGTGGAGTCTCGATCATTTGCACTTTTTACTCCTTGGGTACGTTAATGGTGTTACAGTCTATTGTTTGATTGGTTGGTTGGTTGACTGGTTTCCCGTCTCTGTGACTCCTCCCTATCCGGGTATCGTCTCATTGACGAACGTCAGTGTTACAGCCATGAATTGAAAGTTGTAAGAAGACATTCGAAACCCACATTGTCTGGAAGATAGATGTTTTAGGTATACACTAGGTTTATAGATTAATTACCTGTATAGTAAAACTAACGATCTTCACGTTTAAGTATTCTGTACAACCCTTCGTGGTACTGATGCTGTGAAATATCACGTTCAAATATTTATTGCACATGGAAAACCCTTACGGGATATTCGATAACGGACTAATTAGCGAAAATGACTGTGAACGCAGTGACCTGATGATGGTGTAAACATTCTTGTTGCTTCCTAGAAAGGTTAGAAAAAATAACAAGAAAATATCGATATATTAACAAAATCTTATGACAAACACAAATTCGATGAAATAAAAAGAAAATGCTGAAAAAATACACAGAGACCCATGAAAAAGTGAAAGGAGAATAAAACCAGGCTTTCTGGAAGAGAACTTTATTTACTATCGACGACAAACGTAATGTAAATCTTAATTAGTCCAAGTAAGCAACGTCACATTACTAAAGGACATAACGTTAAACAACAGCAGACCACAAGGCATCCAACACGCCCAACTTTATATTGCAGAAAGAAATAGAATATTTCCCCTGAAATCATTATGACGACCGTAAAACTTCTCCATAATCAAACAAGGTATTTGTATATATTATAAACGCGTTGAGTTACCATTCAGGTAGACATGTCCATATTCTCCACATGCTTTTTCCAGGACTTTTGTATAAAATCGTTCATTCATAATTTTTCACGTGTTATCGGTTTTGGTTTTGACTTGTTATTGCAGACATGTACAAACAAAAAATAAAATATTAGAGTTTTTATCGACACTATTGAAATTATGTTAAGTTTATTTACACTATTTGTCTTGTTAGTTGTGTCAGTTACTGATCCTGTTGCCGCTGATACGTTTATGCGTCATAAATCTATCTGAATAATAAATTAATCACATAATTTATCTGATCGAATCACCATCGGCAGTCTTCCGTTTCACAAACTAAATATTTAAACACTATAGAACAGAATATTCTACTAGCGTGTCATGAGGTATTGGCCTCGCAGAGATATGTATATGGATATATAAGGTTTCCAAAGTAAGCTAATCAGATAACATTTTACATACCTGTAAAAGGTACTTTTATGTGACTTTTGTAATACTGCCTGATAATGATATGCTCACCTGTGTGGAGTTTGTAATATTCAAATAGATAAATAAATAAATAAATAAATAAATAAATGAATAAATAAATAAATAGAAAACAAGTGTTATGATGCTTTGAAAAGGGATTCGGATTCTCACTCGCTGTAACATTACAGAGAACACAACTATGATGAATTGTAAAACGTCTCCGGTGAAGACATTAACCAAATGTTCCTTTAATGTGCTTAGCATTGTATTGTATATCATACTAGGAGTTTACTTAGACGAGAATCAATTTCAGTTTGGTATTTTTCTCCACGTCCCTCATCGATCTTTTGCCACTATTCATCATCAATATTAAATGCTAACGTACATGCTCCGACACTGGTGTTATCCTCGACTTGTCAGAGAGAGAGGTCTGTTCACCTCGTCAGACTGCTAGTAGACAATGCTGGATTCAGCATAATCCCCTCTTGAATGGAACTCTTTTGCCCGGTAAAAGCAGATACTGCGACCCTCTGGCTCATTCTTCCGGTTATCGATCGAAAAATACGTTGTTAACCCAATCCTTAACACAGTATTGTATTATAGAGAAACCAGAATGCTATTCAATATCTCTGCTATTTGCAGGAAGACGAGGATCCAATGGCACAAGGGACTGGCAGACTAAAACAGACGAAACGCTCCACAGAAGAGAAATTATATCAAACGAAAGCGCGAACTGTCAGCCTAACAGGTGGCGCTGTAAGCAGAGGCAGCAGACGACACCGACAGCGGCCTCAGAGTCCACAGACTGCCGGCGCGTACGGAGGTGATGGCGAAGGGAGCATAGACAGGGACTCACCAAGTAATGGATCGAGATCTCGTAACTCTACCTCCAATGGATGTGTCCCCGATATGGGAATAAAAAGCATAGCTATGGATAACTCGTACCTTGTCCAAACTGTGGAGATAAAGAAACGGCCAGGCCAGACCTTGGGATTTTATATTCGTGAGGGGGACGGTATCGATAGACAGGATGGTGTGTTTATATCTCGAATACAAATGGGTACTGTTGCCGAAAGCAATGGCCTGCTTCATATAGGGGATGAGATTCTTACCGTGAACAAGGTTGAGGTAGGTCATATGTCCCTTGATGACGTAGTAATACTTATGTCCATACCAAAGAAATTAATACTCAAAATAAGGACCAAGAAAACTTGCAATAAGAAAAATGCTTCATGTCCATCTTTAGCTATAACTGAACAGGAGGAGCATCCACCTGTGGTAGTGCTTAAGAAAGGCCGGTCATCTTCCGCCACTGCTTTGGAAGAGACAGAAAAATGTCCGGATATATTTGAGCCATACTCTTCAGGTGCTTACACTACCGATTACTTAGGACAGAAGCGTACGTCAAGATTTGATAGGTCAGCTTCACAATATGCAAGTATATTTATCAGTCCGCATAGGGCGGAGGCCAAACTTCTAAATGAGGATGGAGACAGTGAGCATTCGAGTGAGGGGTCATTACCAAGGAGTGTTGACTCGGGGGGCAAGAGCCACTACGTTGGACACCGGGGGTATATGTCAGATGGAGCCTACGAAGCCGCTGGGAGTTACTTCAGCCCTGCGCTGTCCCCTAGTCAATACGGCAGTGCAAATGACAGGGATTACATTAAGTATATGTATTCTGATGGTGGGGGAATGCCAAGAAAATTAAACCCCAAATCGCCATCAAAAACAATTCCCATTGGTTCACCACAGCCAAATCTGCCTGTGAGAAGTAACATGACGTACGAGGCTGTAGAGAGGGTAGCCCAATCAGAGAGTTACTCTGGTGGTCAACCTCTTCAGGATTACATATCACACCGAGGTTACGATCAGACCAAGAAATTCCAAGGAGGATTCAGGGAAATGTTACACTCTAAAGCCAAATATGGCCGTTTACCTCGGAGTCGTTCTCCAGAGTGTTACAATTCTGATTCGGAAGTTATATATGCACCCCCTTCTACTCGAAGTCAGGTAGATTCTCGGGGGTTCTCGTCTGATTACGAGACTTACGCGGGTGGTATGAGTGATGATGACCCTATTTATTCTATACCTCAGCTGCCGTCTAGTAGTAGCACGGAGTTAGAGGAACTCTTACGGAAGTTTAATACACTGTCACACGAGTTACAACAGGAGCAGTGTAAACTCCAGCGCCAACTCTCTACACGGGAACGAACAGGTAATGAGGATTATCGATTGATGTAACGAGGCTCCAGGGCTCACCACACACTTCACACCGATGATTCATGCTTCCCACATATCTGTCTATCCATGTACACACATATACCAATAATAGACAATAGTAGTCTGGTACCAGTCACACATAAACCGATAATGATATTGGAACTCATGTACTCATCAATACCATTCTGCTACTGATACACACACGCGCTCAAATAGAAACTATTCTGGTATCGATACACACATTCTCACCAATATTACCAGCGCATTCGTACTCGCAAATACTATTCTGGTAACGACGTATACAAATACCATTCCGGTACCTGATCACACATTTAAAATCATTGTCTGGTACTCATATATACATTGTACATTATTCTGGCACCTATGTACAATGATACATTAATTAACGGTATGCATCAATAATAGTGTGGTACCGGTACACATTTGTACATCAATGATAGTCTGGTATTGTTACACATTTGTACATCAATGATAGTCTGGTATTGTTACACATTTGTACACCAATGATAGTCTGGTATTGATACACATATGTACGCCAATGGCAGTCTGGTATTGGTACACATATGTACACCCATGATAGTCTGGTAATGTTATACATATGTACGCCAATGGCAGTCTGGTATTGGTACACATATGTACATCAATGATAGTCTGGTAATGGTACACATATGTACACCCATGATAGTCTGGTAATGTTATACATATGTACACCAATGGTAGTCTGGTATTGGTACACATATGTACATCAATGATAGTCTGGTAATGGTACACATATGTACACTAATGATAGTCTGGTAATGTTACACATATGTACATCAACGATAGTGTGGTACCGATACACATATGTACACCAATGATAGTCTGGTATTGGTACACATATGTACATCAACGATAGTGTGGTACCGATACACATATGTACACCAATGGTAGTCTGGTATTGGTACACATTTGTACGCCAACGATAGTCTGGTAATGGTACACATATGTACGCCAATGATAGTCTGGTATTGGTACACATATGTACACTAATTGTAGTCTGTTATCGGTACACATATTTACCAATGGTAGTCTGGTATTGGTTCACATATGTACATCAACGATAGTGTTGTACCGATACACATATGTACACCAATGATAGTGTGGTATTGTTACACATATGTACGTTAATGATAATGTCGTACCGATACACATATGTACACCAATGGTAGTCTGGTATTGGTACACGTATGTACACCAATGGTAGTCTGATAATGGTATACATATGTACACCAATGGTAGTCTGTTATCGGTACACATATGTACACCAATGGTAGTCAGTTATCGGTACACATATGTACACCAATGGTAGTCTGTTATCGGTACACATATGTACACCAATGGTAGTCTGTTATCGGTACACATATGTACACCAATGGTAGTCTGTTATCGGTACACATATGTACACCAATGGTAGTCTGTTATCGGTACACATATGTACACCAATGGTAGTCTGGTTTGAACATTTACACGAGTCTGGTACCATTGTCCACGTACACACTGATAATACTCTGGTACTGCTACGCTATACAATACTACAGATATTAAAATGCCACACATATAAACATCGATAATACTCTGGTAAAGGTACAGATATAAATACCAATAATATTAATTCATATTATTAATGTACGTATCAGCATCCGCTAGTTTATCTTCATATATACATTTTAAAAACTAATACCATCACTGTACAACCTATTATTATCAGGTGCATGTTCATATATATAACACAACTCTGTCACGTGTCTGCACAAATATATAACACTACTATCACGGTGTCTGCACCACTATATAACACTCTACTGTCACGTGTATGTACTATATATAACACTCTACTGTCACGTGTCTGTATTACTCTTTAACACTCTACTGTCACGTGTCTGTTCTACTTTATAATGGTAATGTCACTTGTCTATACAAATATATAACACTACTATCACGGTGTCTGTACCACTATATAACACTACTATCACGGTGTCAGTACTACTCTATAACACTCTACTGTCATGTGTCTGTACCACTATATAACACTCTACTGTCACGTGTATGTACCACTATATAACACTTTACTGTCACGTGTATGTACCACTATATTACACTCTACTGTCACGTGTCTGTTCTACTCTTTAACACTCTACTGTCACGTGTCTGTACTACTCTAATACACTCTACTGTCACGTGTCTGTACTACTCTATTACACTCTACTGTCACGTGTCTGTACTACTCTATAACACTCTACTGTCACGTGTCTGTAACACTATATAACACTCTACTGTCATGTGTCTGTACTACTCTATTACACTCTACTGTCACGTATCTGTACTACTCTATTACGTTCTACTGTCACGTGTCTGTACTACTCTATAACACTCTACTGTCACGTGTCTGTACTACTATATAATACTCTAATGTCACGTGTCTGTTCTACTCTATAACACTCTACTGTCACGTGTCTGTACTACTCTATTACACTCTATTGTCATGTGTCTGTACTACTCTATTACACTCTATTGTCACGTGTCTGTAACACTATATAACACTATTGTCACGTGTCTGTAACACTATATAACACTACTGTCACGTGTCTGTACCATTATATAACACTGATGTCGCGTGTCTGTAACACTGTATAACACTCTACTGTCACGTGTCTGTACTACTCTATAACACTCTACTCTCACGGGTCTGCAACACTATATAGCACTATTATCACGTGTCTGTAACGCTATATAACACTATTGTCACGTGTCTGTACTATTATGTAACACACTACTATCACGTGCTCGCGCCACTGTTAACTTATACATCTGGCACATATCTATACCATTTAATCAGACATACTTATATCTGGTGCTTCTACCACTTTGTAACATGTACAGCAGTTTCGTATATGTGATACAATATCGTTGTTCTTGTCATGTGCTTTGCCCACTTTATGACATATACAGCTGAAATTGTATCGCTATATAATAAAACTAATATATCGTGGCTGTAACACTATATAAGACGCACCATGATATACGACACTTATTCCTCTTGCCTGTAACACTATAATATACCTGCTATTATATTGTGGCTGTAACACTATAAGATACGCACCATGATATAACACACTTTTTTACGTGTCTGTCCCATTATGTAAAACTTACAATATTGTGACTGTAGCACTATATAACAAAACATAAAATAACATATCATATTACTGTAATATTATGTAATATACACCACTATATAACACACATTTTATAATATACTAATATATCCTAATTGTAACACTTTATAACACACACCATTATATAACATACTAATATATGCTGATTGTAATACTTTATAACACACACCATTATATAACATACTAATATATGCTGATTGTAATACTTTATAACACACACAATTATATAACATACTAATATACGCTGATTGTAATACTTTATAACACACACAATTATATAACATACTAATATATATGCTGATTGTAAAACTTTATAACACACACCATTATATAACATACTAATATTGCTGATTGTAATACTTTATAACACACACAATTATATAACATACTAATATATATGCTGATTGTAAAACTTTATAACACACACCATTATATAACATACTAATATATATGCTGATTGTAAAACTTTATAACACACACCATTATATAACATACTAATATATCCTGATTGTAATACTTTATAACACACACCATTATATAACATACTAATATACGCTGATTGTAATACTTTATAACACACACAATTATATAACATACTAATATATCACTTTTACTATAACACACACCATTATATATTACAATATACTTTGTTTTTATAACACACACCATTATATAACATACTAATATATGCTGATTGTAATACTTTATAACACACACAATTAATATAACTAATTACCTTTTGTTACTAATATATATCATAAAAACACACACCATTATATAACATACTAATATATATGCTGATTGTAAAACTTTATAACACACACCATTATATAACATACTAATATATATGCTGATTGTAATACTTTATAACACACACCATTATATAACATACTAATATACGCTGATTGTAGTACTTTATAACACACAGCATGATATAACGACTGTACCAGAATCCATCACTTTTGGCTATCACGAAGCTGAACCAATATATTACACATACTACTTTGGTTTTTTACACAACAGAATCCCCCATCCCCTTTCGTCGTCACTTCATGATAATATAACTTTACCTTTTGTTATATCATATTAACAAGCTATAGTTATAACTAACGTACTACTTTTGTCTAACACAATCTACTAGCAATGCACGACTTTGTATTTAACATGCCTTAATTCATAGCATTTCTAACATTTTGGCTACTGCACATTTGTATTTCGAATGTTTGCTTTTACAGGATTTAGACAGATCTATTAATTATAATTAGATTGGAGAAAAGGTGGAATCAAATACTTAAGTAATTGTATTGTTAATCTGCATTATTCGATTGATGTAGAAAAAGAAACAATTCTTGCTAAAAAATTCGATTCAATGAACTTATGCAGATGCTTTCCAACTTCATGGGAGAACGTAAGATGAAAAGTTGACGTAAGACTTCTGAATATTATTTCTGTTAGAGAGAACATCAGATGAAAAGTTGACTCAAGACTTCTGAATATTATTTCTGTTAGAGAGAACATCAGATGAAAAGTTGACTCAAGACTTCTTGATATTATTTCTGATAGAGAGAACGTAAGATGAAAAGTTGACTCAAGACTTCTGAATATTATTTCTGTTAGAGAGAACATAAGATGAAATGTTGACTCAAGACTTCTGAATATTATTTCTGTCAGAGAGAACATAAGATGAAAAGTTGACTCAAGACTTCTGAATATTATTTCTGTTAGAGAGAACATAAGATGAAAAGTTGACTCAAGACTTCTG